TACTAGATAAATTGTTCATATGGGAACGAGTTAGGAATACATAGAGACATTCTGGTATTATGATGGCTGTAGTAAGAATGGTAAGTAAGAATATGCTTTTTTAGTCTAAGGAATAATGTGGTCTGTTTGGGTTAGTAATCGTAGCTAGCTAAGTTTAAGATAAGACAGGTTTAAGACCAGGCTTCCTCTATCCCCACCTTTTGGCTTTATGCTAAATTTTTCTGTATTACTCAAAATAAAAATTGGTTTCCTCTTTGAACCCTAGACTTTATGAATTTAGGCGCACTGCAAAATTGGGTCAGGCCTCGTCATTTTACATTTGAAATGGTTAGATGTAACCGTAAGTTCTATGCTAACAGTTTCTTCTTTCGCTCTTTTTCTTGCTTTCCTGTCAACTTTGATCTTGGAAAATGCAAATACAATGTCATCTTCTTAATTACTGCTCTTTTATTGCGCTCTCTCTCTCTCTCTCTCCCTCTCTCTCATAAGAATGTTTTTTCATATTCTATCATACATAAAAAACGATTACAAATCTTTGTCTATGGTATTTAACTAAATATGCAAGAGCCGTAAATATTGATTTTTCATATAATATGCACGTACAGCAGACGATATGAAAATCTTTGAAGCATATGAGAGAGAGTTATATATATATATATATATATATATATATATATATATATATATATATATATATATATAATTATTTATTTAAAAATATGATTTCATTGCTATATAAGAGTTCTCATGCTTCAAAACAAGAGCCGAAAACATCAATATAATTATTTGAATTAAATTGAATTAAAGTACCAGACTCTGTTCCATCTTCAAGCGAAATTTTTTTTAGAATGAATTCTTGAAATTTACGCGTTTTTATAAGCATAGTCATTATTAAAATTAAAATTACTATGGTAACGGATAGAGCAATTGTTTAAAAAAAAAGGGGGCGTAAGGGTTAATAATTTGTATCAATATCTCGGTTACATTAAAGAGGTCAAATAAGGGTAAGGTTGGGGTGTCTAAATTTAAAGCGGAAGATGACATCGTCTAATCTGGTTAAGTGCTTTGTATTGAGCATTGCTTTTTAAAAATAATAACAAAAAATGCTAAAGAACTTTGGATTATTTACCTAACGAGTTCTTTCCTATTTTCTATATATTTTCACACACACACACACACACACACACACACACACACACACACACACACACACACAGACACACACAAACACACACACACACACACATATATATATATATATATATATATATATATATATATATTTTCAAAATAGAAATACATACTAAAGGATTAAATAGAGATTTGGATTAACTCAGAAAACACAGTTCCCACAAGGAACCATCTAACCAACAACAATATTTCCTGTAAGTGTGAAACCAATGTCTTCGTTTCTTTCTCGCCTCGTTGAAAAATGACACAGGCGTGTCCATAAATTCCAACTTTAAAAGATTTCTCTTTGTATATCAATTTAGTCAAAAGCCCTTCTTATATATAATATATGGCATATATATATATATATATATAATAAATATCATGTATCTTATTGTCAGTATTTTTATCATTTTGCTGTCTTTTTTATTCCTGAAATTTCATTAACAGGCCTATCAAATAAATCTACACACTTACGACTGAAGTGATTTATATCGGGATTAACTGATTTAATTTCTAATCCAGCAAACAATCAAGAATCAAGAATGCTGCCATTTAATGAAATACATCTTGCTTAACATAATGATTACTCACAATTCTAGACAATATATATATATATATATATATATATATATATATATATATATATATATATATATAACCTAACCTAAGGTTTAGGGCCATATCATGTTAAGAAACGCCGGTTCCCACATGATCACTGAAGTTAAGTGGTCAGTAGTTAGATGGGTGACCGCTTGGGAATACCAGTTGCTGGAATCTTGGATGTGCGGATGCTCTAATGGGTAATGACTCGGTATTGTAAATCGAAGATCCAAGTTCCAATTGCCTTTGGGTCCGTTATATCTCTTTAACCTTGGAAAAAGCATGAACCCACTTCTTTTCCTCATAGTTATGTGTTAAATAGTAATACTTGTATCAGTAAGTCATTGTTATCTCTATCCACACAAATTTTTAGAATCCAAAAATATTTTCTCTCTTTAAATTAACTGCGAGAAGGTTGATAATCCGTAAATAACAAAAATAAACAATCAAACATTTTTCTTGTGCCACAAATTTTGTTCATACTCGATTTTTTAGTTCTAACCACTGAAAATGATATTAAATTATACACGAGACATTGTAAATGAAAGATTTAGCGATCAAAGAATTCTTTTAATGTAAGATTATTTTCTGGTTTTAAATAACCTGCAAAAGATTGATAAACCGTAAAAAAACAAATCAGTCAATGTTAATTGTTTTAAATATAATATTTATGTAAAAATGCACAATATGCAAAATTGCACTCGTTCACCTCATTAAAATCTTACAAGCAAAATACTGATAAGTTCACCACGGTAACAACGAGTTGAACTAAAGGAAAGATAGCGAAAGCAAAGAGACTATTTCAAATATCTTAGCAACATTCAAGTAAAGGCAAAGTTATGTTGTGAGGAATAGAAACCTATAAGGCAGAATACAGACTTTTCTAGAGCGTACCCATATTCAAAATGATAAATATTTACGTAAGATAACGTCCTATTCCAAACATGAAATATCCATCTGCGCATCTGACAAATGATTCCTCAATGGATTACTTCGAAAATGGACTGATAACGAAAATGATTTTAAATCAAAAATGGCCGTTGATCAAAGAGATAATGGATGTTCATTAATTGAGACGTGAAACACACACAAAAAAAATACGAACTCCTAATGTCTTTTGTTCATTAACTACAACATATCTAGTACGAGCACGTGGCCAAGTTGGTTTGAACGTTGGCACTCTGACCATGAGACCCCGGTTCGAATCTTACCATGTTTGATTTGTTAGAAAAGAAACTTCCTGATGTTACTGAACTGAAGTGTATGATCCCAGCGTGCAGCACCTTTAGAAAGTGCCTGAAAACCATATCACGGTTTGACCCAAGCATTGTGAATGAAATTGTGTAGGTGAATACCTTGGTAGCACGAAGTCACAATCCATCGTGACTGAGGCCTTGAGCGTGCTAGCCTTGTTTACATTGTTGATCATGCTAGGTAACACGCTCATTCCCAGAAACTGTGACTAAGTTCCGCTCAGCATAGTTACACTATAAACCACAGAGCAGGCGTCTGCAATAGGGATTAGCTAACTGCCCACGAATACGTGTGACCAGCTATTATTACAACATATCTAATAACATTTATTCGTCCATGAATTGAATATTGCTGCTTCATCTAATCCGGTGTTTATTTAGATTTGGTTTGCTTGAATTTGTTTATCGACATATCAACACCTCTGTGGGTTGTTTAATGCCGAAATTTAAGTATATTTAAAACGATTTTATGGCTTTAGCTACAGTTGTATTCCTTCAACTACAGAGAAAAAGGATTGTTGGTCATTTTTCTATAAAATGTATTGTTGCTAATTCTACTAGAAAATGTATCTCTGGTTATTTTATTTTTAAAATATTTTGTTGGTTATTTTATTATAAATATGTATTGTTAGTCATTTTCTTTTTATATAAAAATATATTGCTGGTATATTTATTATAAAAATGTTAATACTTTCATAGTGTTTTGTTATCGTTTGAGGATTCACTATTTGCCCATAGCTGGGATCCTAACAAGTACTCAGGGTCAAGGTGGACCTGGGAACAAAAGCAATTAAGAGGTCCTCAAAACCGATCAGCGGCCTTGTTTTCGGATGTAACTTATCGTCATACCCAAGATTTTATGTATTTAGAGATTCTTGATAAAATACAAAGAATCTGTAATGTTATTGGTTCTGCCCAGACATCTCGGATTGTTTTCATTTTCCCAACGCCGTAACATAACTCCCCCCTTCTGCCTTTTATGTATATATATATATATATATATATATATATATATATATATATATATATTCTTTATACTAATTGTTCTACTTATCTCTCCTCCTCGGTACCTTGACTTTATGAATTTAAGCGTATTAATAGATTGGTATCAAGGTCTCATCCTGTTACAACTGAAATGGCTAGATGTAACCGTAAGTTCTATGCTAACTGGTTCTTCTCTTGCACTTCTCGCCTGTGGAACTCACTTCCGGTCTCTTAATTTCCACTCAAATTTGATCTTTAATAATTTAAATACAATGTCAATCGTTATCCTCTGTCTTCTTAACTGCTGTAATTTTATTGTTCGGTCGTCTTAATCATGTTTTCTTTTTCTCATATACTCTCACCCTCTGTGCTGTCCTTTGTGTCTTAGTGGCTTTATTACCTTGCTTGGTGAGTAATGAAGCGCATAGAGAAGAGTACAATGAATCCAAAATCTTGAGATTTAAAGCCTAGTCCTTAATATAGTCGAAAAGAGATAACTTTGTCAAACTGCGAATATAATCTTTGGAAGCATATATAGGTTACGGTCAAATTACACCGAAAAACGGGTTCTCGTTTGATCACCGAGGTTAAGCAGTGTCGAGTCTGGCTAGTATTTTGAGGGGTGGCCTCTTGGGAACTTCGAATACAGTAAGTGACCTTCTAAAATCAGAAAAATGTGTTTCCTTACCCGCAAAGGGCATATAGGGTGACTGAAAATTAACTCCCTATTTTATGTATGATGGACTCTACCGTCTTGTAAAATTATAGTTAGACGGGTGAGTTCATCATATATAAAATAGGGATTTAGTTTTCAATCACTTTGTATATACCATCAAAAACAAACCAAGCAATCAATCTGATACCAATCATGGAATAGCGAGAAATGACACAAAAACACACCTTTTTTTTCGACACATGAGAAAGTATTGGGGCGTTCATCCTATGTAAAGAGAGAATAATTGGTCAGTCTTTTAGCATTGCCATTTCTGCATGTTGCAGATACAACGTTGTTTTTCCCTGTGTAAATTTCAAGCCGTTTCCCATGTGAATGCACATCCGATCCTGTCCGTAACTCGTTTGCTCTCTTTCTATCTCTCTCTCATTTTCACTTTCTCTGTCTCTTTCTCTTGCACACACTCTCTCAATCTATCTCACTCTCTCTCTCTCTCTCTCTCTCTCTCACACACACACACACACACACACACACAATTTATAAAACTTTTTCTTCAAACAATTTTTCAGGAAAATCGATTTCTCTAGTCTCTTGTTACCAATCTTTCTAGAATTAATGGAAATGTTCTTCCAGACATTTTATTGAGGGTCATGTAGAAAGTCATCAAGATCATATCTTTTTTTCCATTCTTGTTATATGTTATATCCGTTATACCCTTACGTACTTTCTTTTTTTTTATGTCTTCCCAATGAAATATGACCCAGTGCACATGTTAGTACTTCGTATGTCCACTCCACGAAGTCGTTCCTTGCAGATTAACCACAAATTCTCGATTGGATTTAAATCAGGAGAGTTTCCGAGCCAGTCGATAGTACTTTGATTTTCTCACTGGTAAGTCTTTCCAGCATGTCCGTGCAGCGTTACATTATTCGTACACTTCATTAACGTCCATCGCAGACAATGGCCGTAGGACAACTATTCGACAATCGAGACGGTAGTGTCTGGGCGTGATAAAAATCTGATGCAATCAGGGATGATACAATATTTTTCAAGGCCAAACAAATATCATCATACACCCTGAAAATAGATTCATATTACTGCACACCACTGCAAATTACCTAATCTGAGGTAAAAATAGAAATGGATTACACCCTGTCACTGCAGTGGGTTTAAAACTGACCGTATGGCGAAAGAAAAGAAACCAAAGCGCTTGTTTCAATTAATTGGTACAAGGGTGTAGTTGTTACCGCCCTCTTGAAGCGGTTTAATTTTATTGGGTTAACTACTTTATGGTCATCTAGCGCCAGGTTATAAGATCGGATGAAGGACAGTTTTCTCTAAGGCAAGGGATTCATTTCTAAAAAGTTATCTGAGAAAATTAATGTATATAGTTGATAGTTTAGACATTTCTGAATGGGTTGGACGCCATGCATGGCATCAATATAAGAGTCAAGAACTTAATGAGGGCCTATTCATGAACATGTTTAGAGTTCTTAGGTTATCTTGGCTTCTGGCATCTTGCCGTGTTGGACAAAACTAACTCTAAAGCAACCTATTCTATATCCAATTTTCTTATGTGGCAGGTAGGTTTACAGAAAAATAGTAATTACAATTATCTATCTATCTATCTATCTATCTATCTATCTATCTATCTATCTATCTATCTATCTATCTCTGTTCATATCTATCGACCTGTAAGCCTATTCATATCTATCTATCTATCTATCTATCTATCTATCTATCTATCTATCTATCTATCTATCTGTTCATATCTATCGACCTGTAAGCCTATTCATATCTATCTATCTATCTATCTATCTATCTATCTCAGTCTGTTTATATCTATCTATCTATCTATCTATCTATCTATCTATCTATCTATCGACCTGTAAGCCTATTCATATCTATCTATCTATCTATCCAATTCAATTCATATCTATCTGCCAGTCTGTTCATACCTATCCATCTGTAAGTCTGTTCATATCTATCTATCTATCTATCTATCTATCTATCTATCTATCTATCTATTTAAATATGGCAAATTCAACAAGACCTATCTATCTATCCAATTCTATTCATATTTATCTATCTATCCAATTCTATTCATATCTATCTATCTATCTATGTCAGTTTTGTCATATCTATCTACGTCATTTTTGTTATATCTATCTATCTATCTAGCTAGCTAGCTAGCTAGCTAGCTATCTAATTCTTTTAAATCTATCTATCTATCTATCTAATTCTTTGTAATCAATATGTATGTTCACTTGGGGGTATTATTATTTTTTTACTAGTTGTGTCTCATCCGTCAATAGCAGTCATCACCTACCTAACGAGATGTAGCATTGCATTCCATTCTATCTATCTATCTATCTATCTATCTATCTATCTATCTATCTATCTATCTAATCTCAATTGTTTTATATCTATCTATCTATCTATCTATATATCTATCTATCTATCTATCTATCTATCTGTCTGACTGTCTGAAGTCAGGATGAAGAAATAACTTTCATCGAGGTCGAATTTCCAGCCCATATTCCGGAAGCTCGTCCATCATATACAACGCCTTAAACAATATGTAACTTTTATATCGGAAAGATATTAAGGAAAATGGAAACAAAACGTTCACTTATATTTAGTATCAGAAACAGTTGAAATTTTGGGGGCATATAATGAGGAAAGAAGGCTTGGAGAATTTGACATTCACAAGGCATATTGAAGGCAATAGGTAAGGGATGAAACGGCGTGTAACCTACCTAACAATCTTGTTCTTGACGGGGATAGGGAGGGATAGTAAAAAGAAAAAAAAACATTGCTAAGAGGTAAAAAGGATAGAGATTTGTGGTGAGCCATAATAGCCCGTTGTCAAGAGACACGGCACAAGAAGAAGAAGAAGAAGAAGAAGAAGAAGAAGAAGAAGAAGAAGAAGAAAAAGAAGAGGATTTATATAAATTGATGTAATGAAGGTGTCAACAGGAAAATGTCTTCGAGGCAACTGCAATAATTATGGCTTTTGACTTAACAGCAACGTGTCGTAAAAAGAACATTTAGTTACAAATTAGCTTAGAGTTACCAATTTTATGAGGTCACAGTATTTTAGGTACTTTTTTTTTATTTCAGAGATTACTTCGATAAAGTTTGATTTCATCAGTTACTTTATTTTGCATTTAACAAAACAGTAACCCAACACCGTTTTTATTTATTCATATATTTCTCTATCAGTAATTAAAGATCTTTCCAAAATATATACCTATTTTTTTTTTATCAATTTCTTTATTTCTATTTTTCTACAGCTGTTTATCTCAGTCAATGGATTCATCTATGTATCTCTCGCTGTATCTGTCCCAAGGGCACCCCACAATCATTTACTTTCACGTTTTATTTACTCTGCCTTACCCCCATCTACATAGTGTAGCTATGATTACATGTATGTAGATATCGGTACGTCTATTTCCAACTACGTATGTTTATGCAACAAGAAAGCTACTATATGAATCAACAAAGAATGCTACTATGTGAATCAACAAAGAATGCTACTATGAGAATCAACAAAGAATGCTACTATGTGAATCAACAAAGAATGCTACCATGAGAATCAACAAATAATGCTACTATATGAATCAACAAAGAAAGCTACTATGAGAATCAACAAATAATGCTACTATGAGAATCAACAAAGAATGCTACTATGTGAATCAACAAAGAATGCTACCATGAGAATCAACAAAGAATGCTACTATGTGAATCAACAAAGAATGCTACTATGTGAATCAACAAACAAAAATGCGCTTTCTATGTGAATCCGTCTGCCGAATCAAAAGAAATTCATATGAATCAACAAAGAAAGTGAGTGAGAATCAATAAAGAATGCTTTTTCAATGAGAGAGGAACTTCACAAAGAATGCACGAGGGACTAAAGCTTTCTCCGTCTAAGAGATTCAGTGGGTTTTTATGAGAGGGACTCACCATCTCAAGAATGGTTGCCAACCAAGGCTATAGAACCCATTCTGTCCTTATATTTAACCCATAGCTGGGGAAGAATAGGTGGGTTCCTACTTTTCCAAATGATAATTGCACGTAAGTGAATATAAAAAAATAAAAAAAGCCATTTTTTTATCATTGCCCTCAGAAAGCGGCTCTATACAGATAATAGTTGATATATATACATATCTGATATTTTTCACCGCAGTAATATTACTATAACTTTCAAACGTTAACTAAATCAAGTTCTTCACTACCCCAGTAGATACAATACATATAATTCGCCAACTGGTAGCGACTTCCTTTTAATGACATTACTTCGTGACATGATAATATCTGTTGTTGGTAACAAAAAAAAAAGCCACCTGATTTCACTCTGTTCATGAAACAAATAAAGGATGTTAATCTGATAGAGAGAAGCGCAGCGGAGTGTTGCGATTTCTTCAAGCAAGTTTTAATTTCGCTATGATTCTAATATCACGCCTTGTTTTTCATTGTAAGAGTCAGCTACAAACGACGCGGTCTACTGTAAATATCTAAAATAGTTTGAATACAACCAAAATCACACATGTCCTGGTTTATAACGATAAACTACATCCAGCAGCAATGTCTCTGATCGGGTGGTTTTGAGGAGCGTAGAACCACCTCTTAATTGCGTTTTTTCCCAGGTCCAACATCAACAGGAGAGGTAGGTTGTATTAGGGTCCCAGCTATGGAAAAATAGTTAACACTATGAAAGTATAAAAATAGTTTTTTTTATAGGAAAAAGACCAGCAATACATTTTTATATAAAAAAAATATTACCAGCAATACATTTTGAAAAAAATTACCAACAATACATTTATGAAAAAAATTATTACCAGCAATAAATTAAAAAATATATATTACCAGCAATAAGTTTGAGTCTCGGCAACAACCCCCTTTACAAAAATATGTCAATGAAACCTGATCTACAAACTGATTTCTTACAAAGAAAACATATTCTATTCATACGAACCTATCCTAAAAATCTTTTCGACATTAAATAATCCATTGAGGTGTTGATATGCCGTAAAATATACCAAACCAGACTCTCGACATAAACTCTCTTTACAAAAATACGTCAATGAAACCTGATCTAAAAGCTGATTTCTTGCAAAGAATACATATTCTATTCATACGAACCTATCCTAAAAATCTTCTAGGCATTAAATAACCCATTGATATGCCGTAAAACGAAACAAACCAAACCAAGCCAGACCAAAATCTCACATGTTAATTCTGAACATACATAAATATACAGTATAATCTTACTTCCTAATATGGTTGGTGTGCTTGTATATCTTTTATCACTGATGCCTGCAACCTTTTACACCAATATTGAAGCATCTTGACCATGTCATTATTTTCCAATATTTAATAATAATGGTTCACTTTGTAAAACATGAATTTTTTTTTATCACGGGTTTATAGTAATGGTAAATGTTTCCTTATAAGGAAATATCCACCATTCATGGACGAAACATTTACCATTACTGTCGGTTGAAATTTATAAAATCTTTCTGGAAAAAAGATTTCTCAGATCTGCTGTCATAACTCTTTCTAGTATTCCTGCCTATCTTTTTTTAATATAGAAAGTCTACATCTTGTTTTGTTCCAATTAAATCTATTTTTTGTATTATATACCTGCTATGTTGACCTCATAGCAACATATGACTACATCACTACAGACTTCGTTGTCTCAACCATCAGAAACGGGTTTTTGTTTGCTTGTTTTTTACAGCAAGGTTCACCCTTTACAAGGCCCGGTGTCCGCTCGAGATAGAGGGTTACGTTAAGGAGTAGTTTATATGGATATAAATGTGGAAGATAACGTTTGACTCTCGACTTGAACAGGTTAAGATTGTAGTGCACAGAGAAACATCCTCTTGGAAGTCTGTTCCTCAGAGCAGTGGTTTGTGGGTGGAAGCTGTTTCAGTGGGACTTACTTCTCGCCAATCGAATACGGAGGGAGTGAGGGCGGCGTGCTACTATGTAAGACTGCATGTCTTCCAAGCGCTGGGCTTTTCGAATGTCTCCATCTGACAGAGGAACTATATTGGTTCTAAAAAAGACCCAAACACTGTCAAACTTCATCAGGAGTAAAAGAAAGAAAGGAGATCCCCAATCTGTTGTGTTGGCCCAAAAGTTCGTTCGGCTTATGTTATGGAGTGGTTTCACAATGGAATCTTGTATTTGTACTAAGTCGGTCCTAAAATAGGTTCGACGTACAAAACGTTAGGAACTTGATATAATAGGTATAACGCAGAGTAAATCTAGTTGTGGTCGCTGATACTTTAGTATCCGACTAACGGTCGTCCGGCATCGACTCACTCACCCACTGAGCGACCCCTACTACTCCTACTTATTATAGGTGGGAGAATCTATTAACTATAGAATAGGTGTGTCCCACTATAACAGCTTATTAAGTACATTTTCTTAAGAAGTGAACGAACGTTTCGACCGACCCAATATTTCATCTCTCCCTACACTATGTTCTGCGCATATACAAGTCCAGAAGTGAAGAGACAGGCCGAGATCATTTAAACATTCCATACCGCATTCCCAACGAATCGGCTAATAGGGAACACTACAATCTTAATCTCTTTAAATCGAAGGTCAACCGTTATCTATCTTACATATCCTCATAATATGCAACACTCGTTCCCTCCCTCTCTATACAACATTCTCATTCAGTAACTCTCTACATTGAGTGGCACTTAGGCCTTGTATTTTGTGAACAATAGTAAATAAAAAACAGCATTAATGCTTCCCTTCCTGAGATCAGTGTACTGATGATGGGAAGAGGAGGAGATCTGCTGACGACATAGATATTCATTGTTGGAAGAATAATAATCTTGAACAAAGAATCGACATTATTTATCAAGTGTTTCATGAAATAGTATTCAAGATAAACCTTTCCAAATCAGAAAACATGACTTGGAATTGGAATGAAAGCAGTGATGGTAATACCTTAAATCCATCATAAAAATACAAGATGAGGAATTAGTACAGATTAAACACTTCAAATACCTCGGTGTGGGGATTAATTATAACTAATTTCTTAAATGGGCGTAACCAATCGAGACTCGAATCATATTCTTAAATGGGCGTGTCAGATCTAGACATGAATTATATTATTAAATGGGTGTAGCAGCTCTAAATTCGAGTCATATTCTTAAATGGACGTGGGAGATCTAGACTCGAGTCATATTCTTAAATGGACGTGGGAGATCTAGACTCGAGTCATATTCTTAAATGGACGTGGCAGATCTAGACTCGAGTCATATTCTTAAATGGACGTGGCAGATCTAGACTCGAATCATATCCTTAAATGACCCTGTCAAATCTAGACTAAAGTCATACCCTTAAATAGCCGTGTCAGATCTACACTCAAATCATATTCTTAAATGGGCGTATCAGCTTTAAATTCGAGTCATATCCTTAAATAGTCGTGTTAAATACAGACACGAATCCTTT